CTCCTTGATCGTTATCGGTCGCTCAAGTTCACCTTCTCGGGATAGTACCTTTGCGAAGCAGTCTGAAGGGCTTGGGAAAGGTCATTTCTACTTGGCTCTGCTCTCCTTGAGTCATGTTAGAGCGATAACCTACTCAAACTTCGCTTCGAGTTGCTGCGACTCTTCCCAAGCGGCTATCCAGAAAGCGATGAATCCGTGTGCCGTCCGCATAACAACGCAATATTGTAGGGAAATGCATACATTACTCGATATAACCTTTGACCGCAATTTATGGGATGTCACTTATGTACATAGATTTCTGGATGCATAATCTGATTTGTGTTGCGACTTGCGCACCAGGCGGCACGTGACCCTTTGTCTCGCAAGCGAAGAACAATGTTAACGACCGAGCCTTCAACTTCCTTTGTTTCTTTGAGCTGAACGACTGCCTCAATATTACCGCATCTGGTATCGAAGCAAAAAAATGCAATGAAGAATGAGAAGGATCCCCGTAATGCTTCACATTGTGAAGCGTTGCGGTTTGTGTCCTTGTCTACTTAAATATTTTGCCTGCTTTATGTATCATTCTCACAGTAATGGTCTTCTCTCACACTTCTCATCTCATCCGAAATCACCGAAAAATCTGGTCCAGGACGATCTCCGACAAGTCTCTACAAGATGACATTTGCCTTGTCAATATCACTCCGCGGTTTCAGACGCATATTGCTCTGGAGATGGAGTTGGATGTCATTGTTTGGCTTCACAACCAAGAACCATTTGCCCACTTTGAGTCTCGCGACGGTGCTCGCTCTCCTTGCTAGCTCTGTTACGCCTGTATTCGCCATCCTTCTGGGAGACATTTTCAACTCGTTCACATCGTTCGGCGGTGGTGATATTAGTGGCGACGACCTACTCCGGAAGGTAGCGAGATACGGCATCGCGCTTTCAGGCTTAGGTATCGCTAGCTGGGTACTCAATGGAGCGTACTTCAGTCTCTTCATCGTTTTTGGGGAGCTACAGGTCTCAAACGCTCGAACCAGGATCTTCGAAGAACTGCTGGGGAGGGACCAGGAATGGTTCGAAACACAGAAAGATGGCACAAAAGCTTTCTTGTCTTATCTTCAAGCGTAGGTCATTTCTCTCCGATGTCTATTATGTTATGCTTCGCTTATCTTACCTCCATCATAGCCAAATTTCCGAATTGCAGATAGCAACCTCGCAGCCGTTAGGGCTCATCATGCAATACACATTCAGAACTATCATTGCGCTTGGATTGGCATTCTATACCTCGTGGAGTCTTGCATTCATTACTCTAGCAGGGATCCCAGTTTTCTCAGGCGTCGTTGCCTTTCTTTCTTCTCGAATCAAGCCAAGAATCGAAGCCCAGCAGGTTGAACTTACCCTTGCCTCAAAAGTCGCTAATAACGCTACGAGTCTGATTGACGCGGTCAAATGTCTCAATGGACAGGCATTCGAGCTTCGCGATTTTGCCCTCAAAATAAATAGTGCTGCGGTTCAATATCTCAAACAAGCACACCTAAACTCCCTACAGATAGCAGTTGTACGGTTCATGATGTTCGGCATGTTTATTCAAGGGTTTTGGTACGGTGCTTCTCTAACGGCATCTGGGAGACTCACTGCTGGCGAAGTCCTGAGAACATTCTGGGCCTGCTTGACGGCAGCTCAGTCGATCGAGCTAGTCTTGCCGCAAGTAATAGTGATGGAGAAAGGCAAGGTTGCAGCGGTAATGTTAAAGGATCTTCTGAACGGCCGAAGAGTGAAAAGGCACCCTGAGGAGTTGAAAGGAGCCTCATACCCCCGATATTGTGACGGCGATATCGAAGTGTGCGATGTAAGTTTTCCCAGCTGACGAGTACTGCCCAATTTTCTAACTTTTTCATCCTTTCTTTAGCTTTCTTTCACGTACTCATCCCAGCCCGAAAGGCCCATATTAAATTCAGTCAGCCTCTTCTTTCCTGCCGGTGAGATGACTTTCGTGATTGGAGAAAGCGGATCGGGAAAGAGTACACTCGGACAATTACTGGCACGATTGTATATGCCCACCTCAGGCGAAATACTAATTGATGGCAACGCAATTCAGACTCTTAGCATCAATTGGATTAGGAACAACATCACACTTGTCGAGCAACAGAGTGTGCTTTTCAACGAGTCCGTTTTGACTAACATTGCCTTCGGCCGTCGAGCACATGAGACAGTGACGAAGGAAGACGTGCGCGAATGCATTGATTTGGCAATGCTCAGGGACACTATTGATAGCTTGCCAAATGGTCTCGACACGTGCGTTGGGCCCGGGGGAAGCTTCTTGAGTGGAGGTCAAAGACAGAGAGTGGCGATTGCACGAGCTAGACTAAGGAACACTCCCATTCTCGTCATGGACGAACCCACGAGCGCGCTGGACGGCATAAACCGTATAGCAGTGATGAAAGCGATACGGAAATGGCGCAGAGGGAAGACGACGATCATTATCACACACGATATGTCACACATCATGGACCAGGATTACGTTTATGTCCTCGAGCATGGCTCTGTTGTGCAATCAGGATACAGGCATGAGCTGGAAAATAGCCCAGCAAAGGAGAAATACTTTCCTTTCAGCGAGAGTCAAATCTCCTCGAAAAGTCCTGCGAAGCCGAAAGTCTCCTACATCAATGACGAGACTCAGGAGATAGTCGATGTTCCAAATACTATCTGCGCAAGTAGCTTTGGCTTCCCGAAACACAAAGAAACATCAGTTCTGTCAAGGACAACTCCTTCGCAATATAAGAACGCTCAACTGTTCGACGGCAAAATAGAAGAAATGCAGCTTTCCACAGGACTGAGTAACATGGTCAAGGCACAGGCCACGTCCCAAGCAGAGGAGATCTCAATACCTGACGGAGTTGCTATACCGATGCGTGAACTGAGTATGGCGCAGTCACGCACATCATTCGTCCCTGCCAATCGACTCCGATTACATCGCGCTTCTCTGACTCTCCCTGTTCCTCAAGCAGAAGCAACAAATTTTCCACAAACTATCAAGCGGCCTCAACCAGCAAGAGGGGACACTCCACTTTCAGGGCAGCATCGTCTCTCTATAAACCGGATCATGCGGACATTAATGCCCAGCCTCAACCTGAGACAGCGGTGGCTGCTCCTGCTCGGAATCATATCGGCACTGGTGGATGCTACTGCAACACCTGTTTTCTCTTACTGCCTCTCTCAGCTCTTCCAGTCATTCTACGACATGAGAGTCAGCTCCTTGAGATGGGCACTGGCTGTTCTAGGTGTCGCCTTAATTGACGGGACTGCCTCTTACTTCATGCATTATTTTTTGGAAGCATCAGGCCAGGCCTGGGTTGATCAGCTTCGCAAGGAGGCATTCAAACGAGTCTTGGACCAGCCTCGGCAGTGGTTCGATGAAGAAGGCAATTCGCCCTCCAGAATCACTGCTTGTCTTGATCAAAACGGGGAAGATATGCGGAACCTAGTAGGCCGTTTCGGCGGCTACGTCCTGGTAGCTGTGGCAATTACCGTGACCGCAGTCATTTGGTGTCTAGTGGTCTGCTGGAAGCTCACCCTGGTGGCGCTGTCTTGCGGTCCCATCATTTATGCGATTACCAGGGGATTTGAAGGAACCAGCGGACTATGGCAGGGGCGGTGCAATGAAGTTTCCAGGAATGCATCCGACGTATTAGTCGAGACATTCTCAGAAATACGTACCGTGAGGACCCTGACTCTCGAGCCGTTTTTTCACAGGAAATTCTTGAAGGCAGCGTCAAAATGCATGAAAATGTGCCTCAAGAGGGCGGCTTACACTGGGATTTTGTTCGGCCTTGTAGAGTCCACAATAATCTTTGTGAGTGGTGAGTAGGCGCCTCCCTCGTTCCGTTGACTGCTCTGAGAGAGTATGCAGGTTTGATTTTTTACTACGGAGCGCTTCTCGCATCGTCCGGATATACGGTTGAAAACGTGATGACCGTATTCTCGATGCTGTTATTTAGCATCGGATATGCGAGTACTGTACTTTCATGGAGTAAGTCTTGTCCATTCCTTACACATGCTTAGACAATCTCGCCTGTACGGTTGCTAATTTCTTTCAAGTTCCGCAAATCAGTGCTTCCCAAGACATGGCTACTCAGCTGCTACGACTGGCTAACCTACCTGTTGGGCAATCCCATGAACATAAGGGTGACAAACGCCCTCTGAAGGCAGCACCGGTGAAAATACGAAGTCTGACCTTTCGATATCCGTCGCGGCCCGACGCTCCTGCTCTCCGAAACGTGACTCTCGCTATAGCTGAGAATTCTTGCACAGCAATTGTAGGAGGCTCTGGATCAGGAAAATCGACCATAGCATCCTTGATTCTCTCTCTCTACGAAACGCCGCTGTCCAGATACGAGACGCCGACCATCTCAATCGGGGATCTGGATATCCGACGCCTCCACACGCCGTCCCTTCGTTCCCTGATATCGATTGTGTCACAGCAGCCTACGATATTCCCAGGCACGATACATCACAATATCTGTTACGGCTTGAGGGACGAGTCCCCCCTCCGTGAGTTACACAGTGTTCGTGCTGCAGCTCAAGCTGCGGGCATCGATGACTTCATCGTGTCACTTCCCGACGGCTATTCGACTGCCATTGGGGACGGTGGCGTGGGCCTGTCCGGCGGCCAGGCGCAGCGATTGGTGATTGCACGAGCTCTTGTACGCCGGCCGCAGATGCTGGTCCTGGACGAGGCAACTTCGAGCCTTGACCCGGAGAGTGCAAAGGTAATTCGGCAGACAGTACAGAGGCTGGTGTCGGCTCGATCAGGCCTTACCGTGATAATCATTACGCATGCCAGAGAAATGATGGAGATCGCGGATAATATCGTCGTTCTTCAACAGGGGGCTATTGTGGAACAGGGCCCTTACGATGTTCTTGCAAGGCGGCGCGGTGGAAAATTGAAAGCTTTGATAGAGGACAGCGAGGACGTAAACTCGTAGTCCAACAGCCCTCCCTCTGAAACATAACGGATCTTATTGTACATTAGCGAAGTGGCGATTGAACCAATCCAGAGCCTGATCTTCTGCTTCAGTAGCCTGCTGCTCGGCATCTTTCAGAACATGGTCTGCTCGCACGCAGAACCCATGACTAGCCCCATAGTAAACTTTCACCTCACCAACCCCATCCTTACTCTCCATAATGTTCTTGATCTGCTCAATCTGCGGCTTTTTCACAACCATATCCAATTCTCCCAGGGCAAAACTAACGGGGATCTTTATCTTCTCAATCTCCCCGGGGATGCTCAAGAGGCTAGGATGTCCCGTGAATCCAGCATTGATCAATGGTTTGCTGTCTACTTCAGCCCCGTGAGCCAGATTGACAGTGTGCTTGCCTCCCCAGCAGAAACCGGCTGCTCCGATGGGGAGCTGAGCTCCTTCGTCCTGGCGGACGGCGGCGAAGAATGACTTGACGATGGGCCAGGATCTGCTGAAGCGGTTGAAGTACATGAATGGGAGCATGGCGTACATCGCGCGAACGATATGATAGCTGTTTGACTGCCTCAACATTCTCGGACATACGTTTGTCAGGAAAGAGACTTACGGTTTGACAAGCCAGTCGTACAGGGTATCTGTCTTGAACAGATCCCCCATGAGGCTTATAGCCCACACAGGGCACGAGCGTCCTATTCAAGTGAGGATAAAGTCAAACTCTGTTTCTCGTCTCAACCGGCACCAAACTACATCCTGAATACTTTGATTCTCACCATTCATGAAATCCGGTAGATAAACTCTGTACCCGCCCTTCTGGGCATAATGATCCGCCAGTATCCGGTTATTGACAAACTCCCAGCCAAACGCATCCGGAATGATAATGATAATTCCCCTGATTGCTGAGTTCCCCGTTGGCTCTGGCGCTGGCGATGCAACGTAGACGTCGAGTCCGTGCAGTTTGGTCACCTCGCCCTGTGGCTCCCCGGAGTGTACATGGCCGCTGAAGCAATCGGGGCAGGACATGGATGTATTCTGCAGATGAATAGGTTACTATTGACTGCTTGTTTACTGAAAGGTTGATAGAAGTCAAGGAAGAATGATGGAATCTACAAGCTGGCTGTGCTTCCGTGTTTGCTGGGATAATTGAGCTGACTGCATGTGCACTGAAATCATCCTCATCCACGACTGGAGTAGTGTTAGTGCAACCTTAATTTTCAGGCTGCAAGGCTGGTAGCTACTAGGTAGCTACGTTGTCTCAAAGCAGGACAAGACCTGTCATGTTTGCTGCTGTGTTCTCCCCGATTGCTCCTTTCTTAAAAATAATGTTCTACACGAAAATGATTATCTCCACGGATAAGATAATGATTCCTTCATGATGAATGCTGCTGAAAGAGACAAATTGCTCATGTCTGCTGCAGTTACATAGAGCAGGGAAGGAGATTTGGATGGATCTTCCTAAAACATATGGACTATCTACGGAGTAGTGCTTGTACCTCTCTACGGAGTGAAGAATTGTCTTGATCTATCTTGACTTGAACCAGGACACCATCAGACAGATTTCTGGTATGGACATTCCGGTTCTTCCGAGACCACTAGAAGAACCATGGAATAGCGCGGGACAAATCATGGATGGATCCTTCAGAGTCTCAGCCAGTTCGGCACAATTCTAAAAATGGATCGTTGGCTGCGTCGGCCGTCAATAATAAATGATAAGGTAGTCACCAGTCATTGTGAAACCACACGAGCTTGGCAAGGAGTGGGTTGTGGCGGGTGCTTTTGCGGATGGCAATGACCATGGTATGGTAGACTACGGAGTACCATGATTAACAATCACCGTCCCTGCTTGATGTCAAAATTATGGAGCTGGACGGGCAGGGGAGCGCGTAAGCAATAGAGACGTCTCTCAAACAGGAAAAATTGAGGCCTACTTAGGTTCTCTCTGAGGGTGCCAATTTGTAGGCCTTCCCTTCCGCCTTCAACCTCACCAGCCACCCACTAAGACTAAAGGGATCCTTTTCAGCCCATTAATGACAGCCTCTGATTAGCTTGGTCTGCTCTCAGGCATATGGTTTCTGCTGTTGGATCCTTGTCCTTGTACTACTATCTACCCCATATTATTCCAGCCAAACCATTACAGATCCTACCATAATTCAGGTGTTTTCTGTTCTTTCTCCTTTCTCTCCTCTCACCTCCTTCTCTTCCATGCTTATTTGCACTGTCCATGTCCTCAATCATGGATTTAGTGATTGTTAGCACTATCTTTCTAATCTATACTATTGTTCTGTGATGATCTGATGCGATTTATTGGCTTCTATTCTATATATAACCTCTTATCTGCGCCGAGACTTGCCTTCACTGTCTTGAGCACTGCCTCTGCTGTCTCTTCCGTGAAGTGTTCTTCGCTCTGACTTCAGTTTCTCTGGGTATCTCTTTCGCTATCAACAAAGACATCAAGGTCCGTTCTGAAAGGAGCTTAGAAGGAGACGCTATATCCTTAATACCTAACGGATCAGGCGGCTGTGATGTATATCCCATCCCAGGTTCGTGGGCTGATGGCCCGTCAGAATGGCGGCAACACCACCCCTGACACCAATGCCCAAGGCAGTGATAGAAACATCATTTTTGTCATTGTGAGTGTTTGTCCTTGTTTCATGTTGCTTTAATACTTGTTCTCAGCTAATTGTTTGGACTTGTAGGTCGCTCTGGCTATTGTTGTCTCGTTCCTCCTGCTCGGCGCCTCCTACTTCGGCCTGAAATATTTGCGTCGGATGGGCTGCTCCCCTAAATATCTCCCAGGAAAACACTTGAAAGACAAATGGAACCGTTGGGACCCTGGAAAGTTCTATAACCAAGTGTCAAATGGCGTCCGGAACGGATCGGCTACGGGCGCTGAAGCCACGGAGATGATAACCGCGAGAACGACCAATCCCATCCGTCGTGATGCTTCCATTCGGTCTGTGGCCACTCTTCCTGCCTATTCTGCAAATCCCAAGCCTGAGGAACAGGTCATCGCGCGTGAAGGTGAACGAGACGGCATGGATACCGTGATCGAGTTTCCTGAGACCGCTGAAGAAGAAGAGGCTCGCCGGGAGGAGCTCATGTCATCGCTGTACGAAATCCGTCAGCGCCGGCGCGAGGAACTGGCAGAACGCGAGGCTAGGCGACAGGCACGGCGTGAGGCTCGCGAGCGTGGAGACCGTGCTCAGCTAGAGATCTTACGGGAACAGGATCGACTCCGTGCAAGAAGTCGGTCATCCACCAATGCCAGCAATAGTGCCACCAACCTCGCTACGGCTGTAGCAGAGCATCAGACTCGTGGTCGCGGCAGGCGGATTGCCAGTGTGAGCTACGCGGCTGTGGGCTACGTTCGTCACGATGGATCGCGAGTCCGAACAACTTCACCCGATTCCGATCGTCGCCCCCTACTGTCGAACGGCCCTTCCGGCAGTTTTGATGCTTCTAACAGGTCTTCCCTGGTCGATACCCCGAGCATTCACTCTCGAGGAGAGTCCTACTCATCCGCCTCGACTGGTCCCGTTGATCCGGTTGCCTTGACTAGGGTGCACTCCCAAGCACATTCTACCGTCTCTACCCTTCCATCCACCCCAGGCGGTGAGGAGGCCGATGTTGGCGCTCTCAGCATTCCTCCTCCAGAATACGATCATCTGGACTGGGGTGAGGCCCCTCCGTATCAAAGCCCCGTCACCGAAAGGAACGAACATACCGCCCCTCTTCGGGAGCTGACAGTTGTGCCTACCATTCATATTGATGCAGCAAGCCCTGTCAGCGACAATTTCCCGGCGACTGCTCCTCGTGCGTCCAGAGAGCAGCACGATTCGCGTGATTCCTGAAACTCGCTAGAGCTTTGCAGCCCACAGAGGTTTCGCTATCTCTCTACTTAACCCCTTACCTACAGCTCGGAAGTGTGTGGCGCCGATTGCATCTCAAATGCGTTTTATCTCCTGCATCGGACGGCGGTTTTTACGTGCATGACTAACGATGATTCATTTTTTCTCTCGTAACGGCTTGAGAGGTCTAAATAGCATGGCGTCTGGAGCTACATCGGGGAGTTTCTGTTTTATCTGTTCTCATCTGTTTCTTCTGTATTTCTCTCCTGGTTCCTTATCTCAACCTGTACATTGAGATGATATTGCTGCTGCTCGAGGAGTTCATCGCGCGCGGCTGGAGGAGATGAATGAAAATAGTCAATTACATAAATTGCTACTTTGCCTTCAATCCACCCGTATCCAAAAGTATGAGGAGAATAGCGAAGTGCAAATACTTGCAGCACGCTTTTTGGTTGTTGTGCGAAGTAGGAGAGGTCCGCCGTAAGGTTAGACTATACTTGGGCGGTCACTCCGACGGCAGCTCCACCTGGCCGAGTAAACAAATCAACAACTCCCCCAGCCTCCTCTTTTCCCGTCCCGCGGAGTGTCAAAACTGACTTCTGATCATCCATCGCATCATTTTTGCGATCGATGCGAATAATACGACTCTAACTAATTGCATTACTCTTCTATAAACTCAGTTGAGATACCCATATCCTGGTTGTCATTATTTTTCGCGTGGACGCTCGTGGCCGCCGACGCGCTTTACCAAAACATACCCAGCGATTACCCGTCATCGCCTGGCAGTTATAACGTCAATCCCAATTTAAGCACAAGCATTCATGTCTGAAGTCAATTGAGCTTCAACTCACTTGTATCGCTACTTTTGCTTTTGGAACAAGACGCGTCATACGTTTTGACCATGTCGCGCGAGAATACCAGACGCTCCGAAGCCACGACAAACAGCTTCGCGTCATTTGGCTCCGATTTTGACCCAGAGCATGAAGCCCTCGCGTCTACGAGACACTTTGAAAACAGTCCCAAATTGCCCGAGATGAAAGGCAGCGCCAGGAAACAAATCAACAACTTTGAAGACGAGGAGCCTGACTACGCCATTGATACCTCTGCATTGGAACGCGCCTTCCCCGAATTCTCCCCCGTGGGCACCTCCGAAGATGATACCGAGGAAAGCATATCGGTTGAAGCTGGACGGGGCATTAACAAGCCGACGCGTCGGCTCGATGACTCGCGAAACTCCTTGATGAGTATAGAAAACAGTGTGCGGTCGTCCTCGCCTGCCGTCAGACTCGATTATCCCACCTCGCATACGCCTCAGAAATCGGCCATGCGTGTTTCCTCGAGAAGAGCTGCCAGTGAGAGTCTGCGAAGAGATGCTCAACTGAGACAGGCCAGTCTTGCCCACAAGGAAAATCGTGACCCTCTTTCGTCCAAAACAGCCCGCAAGGACCAGCGGCGGACTTTGTCTGAAATGCACGCAAAGGTCCGCGATTCATACGACGGTTCCTTCATTGCTGATGAGAGACCTCAACCTGTGGCAACCAGTACGCGTGCGACGCGCTTCGGAAATGTCAACCTTTCTCATCAGATAGCAGACGCGGTGGAGAGAGCATCACAGGAGGCTTATGCTAAGGAAATGCGCCGGGGGAAGTTACCCAGCAACCTGCGCAACGTGTCCGGCAATGGTGCTGGCGACACGGGCACTATGCAGTCTTTTCTTCTTCCCGATCTTCCCAATCTGTCCGAGTTGGTCTCGGGTGTCTACGAAGACGGCACGCCAGTTTATACCCGCCAGAGCCGGGCTAGGGCGACACGATTTGTTTCTCCTCCGAATGACGGTGCTGATGTGTCCATGACTCGTGAACATATCCCCCTCGATGCGATTCCCATTCCAGAAGATGAAAAGGCTCTCTTTGTTTCTCTGAGACTTCTGCAGGACAAAGTTTCGGAGCTTGAAAGGGCAAAGTCGGATGCAGAGAGAAGAATTGATGAAATGCGACAGGAAAATGCGGCTTTGAAGGCTGGCCGGTCTCACCGCAAGGACAAACACGGCCGTTCTCGCGTGTATGAATCCGAAGACGATGACCACAGAAGAGATGTTGGGTCTCATTATCAGAGTGAGTTACTTTACCGCTGCAGTTCGAGAATATCAAGATGCTAACGGTTGCTTCAGAACTCGAAGCTTCGAATCTGGCTCTGCAAAACCAATTGGATGTCGTTGAGCGGAAGGCGCAGATGAGCGAAGCGGCGCTGAAGAAATTGAATCGTGAGAGAGACATGGCTGTTTCTCAATTGGGAATAGCCTATCTCGAATCTCGAGATCTGAAAAGCGAGAATGACAGCCTACGACAAGAGAATGCTGAACTTAAGGCGCAGCTGGCTAAATTTGTCTCGCTGGCCTCAAAATCTCGCGAGGATACTGGTCGTTCAGAAGCAACATCCGCGACGGAAGCAAGCGTTGAAAGCGGCCAGCTCGACACGCAGCGAAGTGAGGACATGAGTCAGGCTACTAAAGATCTTACCAGTAAGAGTACAAGATCGAAGAGGGCCGGCGGCGTGGAAGAGTCGCGCACAAAGATCTCTAAACAGGTCGACAAGGAGATTTCTCGTCTTGAGAAAGAGCGAGCTGAAGAAGCTCTTTTCTCAATTGACCTGCCGAGGACCAGGGCCTCGAGCTCGCGAGCCGAGAGATCCCAGACTCAGACACGAACAGGCAACACAAAAGCAAAGAAGCAGCCAAACACAGGAAAGCAGCGGGTGAAAAGGGTGATTGTGGAAGAAGTCGATGTTACTGAGCCTTTGGATTCAGCCACTGAAGACGCCACGGGTCATACCAAGAAATCCTCTGCCACAGAGCAAGACTTGACGTTGTTGAGCTTTGTTGACGTGAGTTTGTTACTTTGCTTACCATTGCTTGCCACTAATGTGATTGCTATAGGAACGTGAAATCGCTCAACTGCGGAAGGCTCTAGAAGAAGAACGACTTGCGCGTAGACGGCGACAGTCGATCTCGACCAAGGTTCAAAATGCAGACGAGACCGCAAACTCTACCCGTCAAAGTGTATCAAAATCCGCTGCGCCTCGCAAATCCTCGTTGAAGGAGAGTAAAGCCCCGATAGCAAGACCCGCCTCGGCAATGGGTGATCTGACGGCCACATCGAAAGTCAGCATGGCTGAGGCAGACAGTAATCTTTCCGTGCCCATCGAGCGCCCAAGACGGCATTCGGATCACTCCATCGTCTCCACCACTCAGCGAAGACGTCGCCCTGTTACTGACGACATGACTTCTGCTTTCATCCTGCCAGATATCACTATCCGTCACGCTGATTTGGCAGCTGAGGACCCAAGCCGATTGCCCCAGGCTGCACAAAAGGCCTTGGATAGTGCTACACAGCATGATGGCAAGAACTGCACGGTTTGCAAGCGCTGCATTCCTGGTGACTCGCAATGCGACCATACTCATGAGACCGTAAAGATCCCCAAACCTGTACCCGTTTCGGAGCGTATGCCTGAGCCTTCTGTCTACAATGAGGAGCCTACGTTGCGCCCTGCGCAATCTCCGGGTGTTGCTCTCGCGACAGTGCTCAAGGCATTGGAGGATGAACTGTCCCATCTGAAAATGCAGCTTGTAACCTATCAAGGGGCATATAACAAGCTGGATGCCTCGTTGAGCAAACGCCAGAGGAAATCGTTGGCCGCCAAGATCGAAAAGCTTCTTAAGGACATCGACTTGAAAGCTGACCAAATCTATGCGCTCTACGATGTTCTCGAAGGCCAAAAACAGAACGGACACGAGATGACTGAGCAAGAGATGGAAGTCACGCTTCAATCCATTGGGATCGACACCGCTGCCACCACAAGGGCTGCGGATGTGACCGCTACCACAGATAAATCTTGCCACAAAAACAACGATACTGACGTAGAAGATGATGAGGAGCTACCATGGGAGGGCATTGAGAGCACAATGGATGTTACAGGCAGAATTGGAAACTAGCTTCGCTCCAGGCCTCTAAATTTCTCTCATTCCTTGCATATTCTCTTTCCATTCCCTATTGATCTACCTTTCCGTTCAACTTTCTCATGCTCTCTCACACGGATCTCGGTTCAGGTTTCCGACTGACCTCTCGGAGGTGTATGTCCCTGGTCCTTGAGAACTATGCGTTGGGCTGGGACACGGTTCCTGGTGTTCCTTGACAGACAGGTATGGTCCGCTGATAGACTCGGCGCCTGACCGTCATCGAAGCAGGGACTGGGAACGTCTTTCGTTACTTGAGATCGGCTTAGCAGTGTTGATTGATCAGAAGTGGACAGTCCGCTGCACGGCCTTGATCTCGTAGCTCAGGACACATTCTTTCCATTCGTCATTTTTGTTTCTGTTCTTCTCTCCAGTGAGTTTTTAGCTTGTGAAAGGTGTCCTGGCGGAGTTCATAAGTGTGTTCTATTTAATTCTCTTAGCATTTGGGCAAGGGACTTGGTTGGATTTCGAGTTGTATTTTATGCTTTCGATGGTTGAATGCACGAAATGCACCCGTCATTATGCGTTGTCTTCGGCTGCAATATATGCCTATAGGAGCGTAACCTCTCAAATCATAAATAGTTCAGTCATGTAGTGTGGCAACAGACAATGGAGGTAAGAGCATGTGCCATATAATCAACTAATCATGAATTCCCGAAAGTGCAACGATTGATTCATTTCATGCAGTTCTGTAGATACGACTTTTTAAGACCCCGAAATATAACCCCGAAACCAGGTATGAAGCGTCAACCAAAATCAACCATATCAAGTGGTGTGAAGCAAAGTAGGAGGGCGTGTTTGCATCGCATATCCAATGCAATGCGCTATATATCTCATAACTGTGCAGCAATCGAGCTTAGATCGAGTTCATCCCCTCCACATCATCCATGTCGCGGTAGAACCCCGCGACCAGAAAGGCAAGCTCCAACGCCTGCTTCTCGTTCAGGCGCGGGTCACAGAACGTCGTGTACCGCTCGCTCAGCCCTTCCTC